CACACAGCAGTCGTAGAGCCAGAAATCAATATGCACAGATAAGAAGGGAGGCCCACTACCAAGTGCTGGACACAGTACACACAACCGAGGAAGAAGTGAAGAGGCTTCTGAGTGAGATAGATACCTCAAACGCAATTGGGCCGGATAACATCTCTCCATGGGTCCTGAGAGAGGGAGCAGAGGCACTATGTGTACCTCTAACAACAATATTCAATACATCTATCGAAACAGGGAGATTGCCTGAGGCATGGAAGACAGCAAATGTAGTCCCAATCTTTAAAAAAGGAGACAGACATGAAGCACTAAACTATAGACTAGTGTCACTGACATGTATAATATGGAAAGTCAAGGAGAAGATTATCAGGAGAAGAGTGGTGGAACACCTAGAAAGAAATGATCTCATCAACAGCAGCCAACATGGTTTCAGGGACGGGAAATCCTGTGTCACAAACCTACTGGAGTTCTATGACACGGTGACAGCAGTAAGACAAGAGAGAGAGAGGTGGGTGGATTGCATTTTCTTGGACAGCAAGAAGGTATTTGACACAGTTCCACACAAGAGATTAGTGCAAAAACTGGAGGACCAAGCAGGGATAACAGGGGAGGCACTACAATGGATCAGGGAATACTTGTTAGGAAGACAGCAGCGAGTCATGGTACGTGGCGAGGTGTCAAAGTGGGCACCTGTGACCAGAGGGGTCCCACAGGGGTCAGTCCTAATACCAGTACTGTTTCTGGTATTTGTGAACGACATGACGGAAGGAATAGACTCCGAAGTGTCCTTGTTTGCAGATGAGTTCATGAGAAGAATTCATTCGATCGAAGACTAGGCAGAACTACAAAGGTATCTGGACAGGCTGCAGACCTGGTCCAGCAACACCACCAAGTGCAAAGTCATCAAGATTGGGGAAGGGCAAAGAAGACCTCAGACGGAGTACAATCTAGGGGGCCAGAGTCTATAAACCTCACTCAAGGAAAAAGATCTTGGGGTGAGTATAACACCAGGCACATCTGAAGCGCACATCAACCAAATAATTGCTGCAGCATATGGGCGCCTAGCAAACCTCAGAACAGCATTCCGACATCTTAATAAGGAATCGTTAAGAACTCTGTACACCGTGTACGTTAGGCCCATATTGGAGTACGCAGCACCAGTTTGGAACCCACACCTAGCCAAGCACGTAAAGAAACTAGAGAAAGTGCAAAGGTTTGCAACAAGACTAGTTCCAGAGCTAAGAGGTATGTTCTACGAGGAGAGGTTAAGGAAAATCGACCTGACGACACTGGAGGACAGGAGAGATAGGGGTGACATGATAACTACATATACAATACTAAGAGGAATTGACAAGGTTGACAAAGACAGGATGTTCCAGAGATGGGACACAGCAACATGGGGACACAGTTGGAAGTTGAAGACACAGATGAATGACAGGGATGTTAGGAAGTATTTCTTCAGCCACAGAGTAGTCAGGAAGTGGAATAGTTTGGGAAGCGATGTAGTGGAGGCAGGATCCATACATAGCTTTAAGCAAAGGTATGATAAAGCTCACGGTTCAGGGAGGGTGACCTAGTGGCGACCAGTGAAGAGACGGGGCCAGGAGCTTGGACTCGACTCCTGCAACCTCAACTAGGTGAGTAGGTGAGTACACACACACACTCGCACACACAAACACACACACACACACACACACACACACACACACTCACACACACACACACACACACACACACACACACACACACACACACACACACACACACACACACACACACACACACACACACACACACACACACACACACAACATATGAGCGCCTGGCAAACCTGAGAATAGCATTCCGTTACCTTAGTAAGGAATCATTCAAGACACTGTACACAGTGTACATCAGGCCCATACTGGAGTATGCAGCACCAGTTTGGAACCCCCACCTGGTCAAGCACGTCAAGAAATTAGAGAAAGTGCAAAGGTTTGCAACAAGGTTAGTTCCAGAGCTCAGGGGAATGTCCTACATAGAAAGATTCAGGGAAATCGGACTGACGACACTGGAGGTCAAAGGAGACATGATAATGACATACAAAATACTGCGTGGAACAGATAAGGTGGACAGAGACAGGATGTTCCAGAGAGGGGACAAAGAAACAAGCCGAAGACTCAGACGAGTCACAGGGATGTTAGGAAGTATTTATTCAGTCATAGATTCGTCAGGAAGTGGAATAGCCTAGCAAGTGATGTAGTGGAGGCAGGAACCATACATAGCTTTAAGATGAGGTATGACAAAGCTCAGGAAGCAGAGAGAGGACCTAGTAGTGATCACTGAAGAGGTGGGGCCAGGAGCTGAGTCTCCACCCTTGCAACCACAATTAGGTGAGTACACACACACACACACACACACACACACACACACACACACACACACACACACATGATCAACATGACGAAAGGAATAGACTCTGAAGTGTCCCTGTTTGCAGATGATGTGAATTTGATTAGAGAAATTCATTCGGACGACGACCAGGCAGAACTACAAAGGGATCTGGACAGGTTGCAGAACTGCTCCATTAATTGGCTCCTGGAGTTCAACCCCACCAAGTGCAAAGTCATGAAGATTGGGGAAGGGTAAAGAAGACCGCAGACGGAGTACAGTCTAGGGGGCCAGAGACTACAAACCTCAGTCATGGAAAAAGATCTTCGGGTGAGTATAAAACCGGGCACATCCCCTGAGGCGCATTTCCACCAAATAACTGCTGCAGCATATGGGCGCATGGCAAACCTCAGAACAGCATTCCGACATCTTAATAAGGAATCGTTCAGGACCCTGTGCACTGTGTACGTTATGCCCATATTGGAGTATGCGGCACCAGTTTGGAACCCACACCTAGCCAAGCATGTAAAGAATCTAGAGAAAGCGAAAAGGTTTGCAACAAGACTAGTCCCAAAGTTACGGGGCATGTCCTACGAGGAGAGATTAAGGGAAATCGACCTGACGACACTGGAGGACAGTAGAGATAGGGGTGACATGATAACTACATATACAATACTAAGAGGAATTGACAAGGTTGACAAAGACAGGATGTTCCAGAGGTGGGACACAGCAACAAGGGGACACAGTTGGAAGATGAAGTCACGGATGAATGACAGGGATGTTAGGAAGTATTTCTTCAGTCATAGAGTAGTCAGGAAGTGGAATAGCTTGGGAAGCGATGTAGTGGAGGCAGGATGCATACATAGCTTTAAGCAGAGGTATGATAAAGCTCATGGTTCAGGGAGAGTGACCCAGTAGCGACCAGTGAAGAGGCGGGGCCAGGAGCTATGAATCGACCCCTGCAACCACAACTAGGTGAGTACACACTCATACACACACACACACACACACACACACACACACAGATATGTATATATATATATATATATATATATATATTATATATATATATATATTATATATATATATTATATATATATATGTAATATATATTATATATATATTATATATATATATATATTATATATTATATATATATATATATATATATATATAATATATATATATAATGCATCCATGAGCAAGTGGTTTTTAAACAAATAACAACTGCACTGGCCGAGCCTCGAACCCTTGTACCCTGCTTGTGCAACTGATATTCGAAACGAGTATAGAATGAAATTATTCCTTTGGTTGCCTCAACCACGTAGGTCGCAACAGGAGCGACGTCTAGTGCTGCTAGACGCCTGTTATATTTGAGATTGGTGGCTAAGTGGATTAAGGCGTCTCAAGTTCTTAACAGGCTACCCAGAGACATGCTAAAGATCGAAGGTTCGAGGCTCAGCCAATGTAGTTATTTGCCTATGTATTTATATATATTTATATATTATATATTTAAAACTATCACACTTGGAGAACATGTAACATATGAGAAAATTACTCTATATTTTGGCCTACATCTAAAGCCATCTTCAGCTGACTAACAAGTATACAAAGGATACATAATATATACAAAGGCCACATGATGAAAGTCAGGTCCAGGAGCTAGTGCCTGCAGTATGCTTGAAAAAATCTTTCAGTTCACTCGATAACACTGGTAATTATTAAAAACATACAAAAGTTCTTCATCTAGAATTAGTTCATATTTCAACATCAACGAATTATTCATAGAAACTCAATATCAGATTCCCAAAAAATCAATATTTCCAATCTATGCCTATTCTTTTTTTACTGTCTCCATAATATTCACACACTAAAAAACCCCTTCGAGCCATATGATACAGTGGGTTGTTTTCAAGTTACCTTCGTATAAACTTTAACAATTTATACATTTTTGATTCTTGGATTCTCAGATCATCCATTGAAAAGACTAACTTTGATTCAGACTCTTGTTTTTATTTATATGAGGGTTTTTTCTGGTATTGCATTTTTATTAACATTTATTATTATTATTATTATTATTATTATTATTATTATTATTATTATTATTATTATTATTATTATTATTATTATTATTATTATTATTATTATTATTATAATTGATAGTAAAGTCATTGTCATAAGTATGAGCAAACAGCGTTAGTGCACATATGTTATAATAATTTATATTTTTTAAATAATGTGTTACTCGACCTCCTTCACGAAGTTACATCAGCAGTTCTCGTCAGGTATCGTAGCCAGGATGGTTAGGTAGAACTTGTCTCGCTATTATGGCAAGGTGGATCTACCTTCCATCTCTTCACATAAACATTTTGGTGTGATACACGGTCTTAAAAGATTCCTTGGCTGTATATCCGTGCTACTAAATATATATTATATATATATATATATATATTATATATATATATATATATATATATTATATTATATATATATATATTATATATATATATATATGTATACATACATACATATATATATATATATTATATATATATTATATATATATATATATATATATATATATATATATATATATATATATATATATAGTATATGAAAAATATGACACTGTTGATAAGAATATGCTTGTGATGTTTCGTTAATTAGTGTTTATCATTATACGATGTAACACTTGGATGTCTGCGTCACGGGACACAGGAAATGATACAGCTGCCGTGTGCCGGGCAGCATCAGCAGTGACACTTACACACAAGCCATGAGGTGGCTACACAGCACTTTCCGCTCCGTGAACAGTCCCACCGGTCCAGGTGACGTGCCTGCTTCTGTTCTTGGGACTAGAGTTTATATTAGAGGGTTCTCCTCTGTACTCTGTACTCCCCTGTAACGCTAAAGTCATCTGAAGATGTGCTCCTTCCCCTAGTTGGCTTTGTATGGTCCCTAGACCCACGTGATGCGACGTATGCAGAGTGGCAGTGGGGGCGCTCATGTATGTGGTGGCAATGGAGGGTGGGGTGTCGCCCCCTACACCTGGATGAGGCTGCACATAGTGTATAGCGGCCGGCTGGTGTACCTGAGGAGTTTCCGGTGGCCGCTGCAGAGCGGCATCTGTCCCCGTTGTGTAGATAATCTGGGCGTGGGTAGGATGCTGAAAAGAGAATGTAGCAGGAATTCCGTGATGCTTAATAGGAGGTGGCGATGCCCTGGCTAGACAATGCTGAGAGCCCACGGTGTGCCCTGCATCGTAATCCAACGAGGAAGAGCGCTGCAGACAGTGATGTAATGTAGATGATCTTCGAAATGTGTGCTGGATGACTGGAGAATTGTGCAGCGAGTGCAGACTTTCCGAGGAGCGCGGCAGTGTATGCTGACTACTCGAAGAGCATGAAACAGTGTACTGGGGGCCAGAAGTGTGCTGTAGTGCGTGCTGGGTGGGCGACAGGTCGTTACACGAAGCAGAACAATATTGTGGCGGGGGAGGTATGTGGGCAGGGATAGTAAACACAGCACCTCCGCCCGTGCTGGCTGGTGTGGACGCCGTTCCAGTACTGCACTCTGACGTTCCCTGAGAAAAAATAGCCACACGAAGATTATTTAACACTAATCCATACAGACACTCAACCCAATCTCAGATATGTGCAAACACACACACACACACACACACACATTCTCGAAAGTCAAATAAGATCCAAGTGCAGCCACATCAGGAAGATAACAACAGTCAAGGACTAGGTAATCAGCCTGAGGAAAGGCGGGGAGTTGAAAAGAAACCACCAAGAACTATGTTAAGAACAAGATTTATGGAAGTATTTTCAGTGGAGACAAAAAAGGCTATACTTCATTCCGAAACTGAATTTATGTAACAAAACAATTTTTAATGGCATTTAAGGTTTTTTGTAAATTCTTTCTTAGGAAAGCATAATAGTTATTAATGTTCCACTGATATTCATAAACAAAATGGAAGAAACTGTTTTAGAGAGCATATTAGGTAAACTTTTAATACCAAGGAAAATGATAATGGGGGCTTCTAATTGAAGTTTGAATATAAAGTGGATCGGTACTAGGAGTAATGATAGCAGTTTGTTGGACAGTGTATTAGTAAAATAAGGGTTAGGGGGGGTGTGCGAGTATACAGTGTCAACTTGGTGCGAGCGACAGAAAGGCACTGGGGGGTGCGACTGAAGAAGATGAAATATGGAAGGTGCTGTCGGCGATGGGAAGACGTAAATCGCCAGGTTTGGATGGCCTTCAGGGTGAATTTAATGTGCAGCAATGGGATATAATGATTTTTTTTTTTTTTGGTGAGGTTGTTGAATGCGATGAAGGAGGGGGAGGAGGTTGGGGGAGGTGCAAGCAATAGTGGTGGTGGTATTGAAGGGGGGGACACAGCAGACCCTTTGGGACCATAGAGCCATTTCTCTGATGTGTGCGGATTATAAGATATTTGCAAAGGTGTGGGTAATCGCATGACGTGTGAGGTATACAGGGTGGTGTCTCCGAGATGGTAAGGATTACCTGGCCGGTCAGTGTTGAACGGGCATGGGGTTCTGGATGGATTTGTAGGGGATATGAGTGGGAGGGGGAGCAGAGGGGCGTTGCTGGCCTTAGAGTGGAGAGGAGCTTATGATACGGTGGAACCTGAAGCCATGCATGGAATTCTCATCAGGCAACTTGAGGGAAAAGAATCGATTAGTTGAAAGATAAGTGAAAGAGGATGTTAATGAAGAAAACTTGGCATATGAGAGGTATTTACATTGAAGGAAGGCTATACAGAGAATGGAGAAGCATGGAGAGTAAAAATAAGGTTTAAAGCATTGTGATGGAGTGAGAAACGAGGGCTAATGCAAGAGGCAGTGGGTAGAATGAAAGTGGATTAATAAGCTGGTACAGATGGGATTCAGACTGAAATATTAGAAGCTGATGAAGGTATGGTTTTTGGGGCGGTTTGTGGAGTTGTTCAATACATGTGTGACAGAGGGAAGGCACATAGGAACTGGCAGGGAGCATGCATATTTCGTTAATATAAAGGAAAGGAGGATTTAAGTTACTTAAAATTTTAAGGCTTAAAGTGAATGGTAGAGATATTTCTGAATAAACTGTGCAAAGAATTCGTGCATAAGTCTTATGCAATTGTGCATAAGATTGCAAAGGAGCGAGGAGGTTTCAGGAAATCCAAAATGGTTGAGCTTCAGTAGGAGAGAATTATAGTAAATACTATTAAAAGCTTTTCGCTTGTCATAAGATGACAACTTACCAGGAATGGATCAGTCTCGTTCAGTTCATGACTGTCGATGAGTTCATTCTTGTGGCCGGTCATGAGCTCGCTACATTCTCCCTTCACCTCCAACTCTGATAAATACGACACAGTGTTAGTAACGTTCTACATTAAGGCTGCCATTTACCTACCTTTCTCTGAATATTTATATAACAACACCAGATAGAAGAATTCACGTAGCAATTCTTTATTAAATTGATTATATATAGAAACTGGTGGCCAAAATTATTTTAAGATAAGTGTTGAGCCATTTGACAAAAAATCATTAATTTTAAAAAGTAAACTTAATCGAATGTTTCGTAACTTAAAAAAAATAGTAGAAGATAAATATAAACATATAGATATAATTCCTCTGCTGGTATTATGTACAAAACCACAATCACTCACAAGGAAGGAATTCCAATTTGGAGTTGTACTGACACAATACTAATTTGTTAACCATTTAATCCTCATCTTGCTTGTTTTTCATATAAAAAATTTGTTAAAAAATACTTTGGATTTTGCTTCTGCTAGAATCGATATTCTGTCTTTACTCATCAACGTCCCATAATAATAGTGTATTTGCAGATCTAGATTTACTTCAAGATTTAAGTAAATAATAATAAAAAGTACCGGCGAATAAGAAAAAAAAAATCCATTTTGGGGTGCCATATTACACCGATGGCTCCAGAGATCCAGTGGTAGGCCGCACAGCTGCTGGGATGTTCCACAGCAATCTGACAGCAGGTTGACGCCTCCCAGACCATTAATTCATCCTCCAGGCTGAATTCTTTGCCATCCAACAAGCTCTGCAGCATGCAATTGCAGACCATCAGCATCCCCCCGTCATCCACGTTGATTCCAAGGCAGCGATCCAAATAATTATGCACAGAGAGCCAAAGGACAACATACACTTAATCACATCCATCCGGGGTGACCTGCAGACACTCATGGCCCAGGGTAGCAGGGCCACCATCAACTGGATCCCGAGCCATGTGGGTATCCCTGGTAATGATGCTGCAGATGAGGCTGCTAGGACTGCAACCCTCGAGGCACAGCCACGTGCTGCAATCTCCATCAGCCTCAGCCAGATTGCGCTGTGGGCTGCCGGTGCCGCCAGGCGCCCACTCCCTGACCCTGGGGATTCACGGAGCCTCCACTGGTATGTCAGGGCGACCCACAGGGCGCCCCCTCCAAGTATTCGGACACAGTCCAGAGAACTGAGGGTGCATATCCACCGCCTACGCTTAGGGTATCCCACCACTGCGCGGATTGTCGAACGGGCAAGAGAGGAGCTCTGTGCCCATTGTGACCGAATGGTTCCGAAGCCCTTGGTGCACTACCTGTTAGACTGCCCGGCTACGATGCCCCTTTGCCGTAGACACTTCCCAATGACCCCAGTGGGGCAGGCCCGAGAGGATGAGGCAGCACATCTTGTGTACTTAGCTGTCAGGGACTTGGAAACCTTACTTCCAGTCATTGCACGTCACCTCCCCCCCCTCCCCCCGCTGAAGTCGCTGTGAGGGCCTGCTTTGGGCCTCCATTGCACCGCACACCAGCCGCCGTTAGTGCATACTAACGTTTGATACGTCATCTGGCCATAGAGCCGGTGAGGTACCCCCCCTTCCCGCTGAAGAACTGCCACGCATGTGCAAGAAAAGATAAACGACACTTCCCTACCCTGGGAGCCAATGCCGGGTCACCAAACTGGAAGAGACCCGGGCCGGGATACCATATCGGCGAATCAAATAGAATAGAATAGAATCCATTTTGGGCATAGCAGCTCTCCTACTATATAGTCTCCCTATGATCCCCGTTGGGGAGGGGAACCTCTACCATCTCCACGATGTCTCATCGTGTGAGAATTAAACCCAAGACTACTGTCATTAATGATACCACGAAGCTTGAGCTTGCAGCCTCACTCGAAGATTACTTCTCTGAAAGAAGCTTTCATCGTCACCTTTCTTGATGATGCTGAAGCTGACAAAGTTGGAAGAGACCCGGGCCGGGATTACCGGCGAATCAAATAGAATTGACAAAGTACTTACACCTACGGCAATGAAGACCGAGGCTTTACCATCTGCACGTCACCTTACATGCTCGCTAACCGGTCTGTGGTCATGAAACACCTTGATAGGCTAATCACGAACATGTCTCTTGAGGAAATTAAGTCATCACTTGAAGACCTCAACACCTGGGCCAAGACTGACTCCGTTGTGAAGATCCCCAACGCTTCCTCGATGCTCAGGGTCACGTTTCTGGACGTCACCATGGCGACCAGAGCACTGTCTGATGGCCTGGCCATCTCTTACTACTTTATCAACCCTCGACAAATTGAACCTGAACGCACCAAATACATAACACCTTGTTGGACATGCTGCTCCTACAATCATTCAACTGCCAACTGCCATGTGAAGAATAAGAAGATATGTTCCACCTGTGGGTCTGAAGGTCATGACTTTTCGTTCCTGCATTTCTGCTGCTGCTCCCACCTACATCAACTTCTGCTCCCACCTGCAGCCAAATGTCCAGTTCGCAAGGATATTCTTTCTAAGAAACTAAATGAAGACAATAAGAAGTCATCTGGAAACTCCCCTACTTACGCTGCAATTGCAAAGATTCAGTCAAGAACCTCCAATTTTTTACAAGCCACTCAACAGTCGTCACTGACAACTCTCACTACCTCTCCTCTACCAGGCGATATCTCTACTAAAATCTATTACTGCATAAGGTTTGCTCACATGCAAAATGCAGCGAAACCTGGCTCTTTCAACACGACTATTAATGAACTTCTTGCACTCAACAACATGCCATCATTCACCTTCCCTGCCAGTCCACCCTCAGCTGATATTTTGAAGATAATCCCGAAGATCGTCAGTTTCGAAGCGCCAGATGACTTGCAGGAATTGATACTTGAAAACGACGACGCCTGCTCTTCTGCATCCTCCAATCAACATTCACCCTTGCCTCCACTCACCACTACACCAATGGACCAATCAGAAGCCGCGATTCCACCACAGTCTTCTCTACACTCTACAGCTGAGACACCAACATTGTCTGCACCTTCATTGCTGCAACCACCAAAGAAGAAAACTAAAACTTCACCAGCCATCACTAGACGCATAGCATAGCTACGGACGACCGCCACCAAGATTGCTGCCTCAGCTGGAAAGACATAACTTTTTATACAACTCCCTCCCGAGAGCCCACCATGAATGTCGACATCCACACCTTGTACGAGAATGTAATTGACAGGACAGTCAAGTTTACTAATCGTAAAGGAACCCATTGCTCCTTCTCATCACTCATCGAGACCTTGGACCTGATACAAACCGACCCAGCCCTTAAAACCCAAGTTCACAAGACTACTCATCGTTTCCTCCCAACAACTGCACAACATTAAAAATGTCTCCACCACTGTATGCAAAGTAAAAGGACACAAGTGCAACTAATGTGATATTTCTGTTGTGGCAACGTTTCGCACTCCAGGAGCTTTGTCAAGCCGTTACACAGCTCCTGGAGAGCGAAACGTTGCCACAATAAAAATGTCACATTATTTGCACTTGTGTCCTTTTACTTAACATATTGTCGGTAATTCTACCAACATTATTACAACCTCCACCACTGAAGATGTGACGTAACAACTGACTTTCACTTTAACAATTCCTCGCTAATCAAGAAGCTTCTGTTGACTGGCTAGCTTCTGCCAGCAGCCAGTCAACATCAAGACCACAAGATACAGCCAGCCAGATGTGTGAGTGTTCTCCTGCTTTATGTGTTGCTGTTTCCATGTGCTTCCAAGGCTTAGCGGTTGGGTCTAGTCCCGACTCTTCTCTCTTCGACTCAAGACATTCCTCTCACCGTCTGTTCTTCGTCCTGTCCCAACTTCCCCCTCGCCCCCTAGGAGTTCTTACCTGCGAGTCCTTCTTGTTGTTGTTGCACTTCGGGCATTCTGCCTTGACTCTCGCCTTGGCAGGTCATAGCAGCTCTCCTACTTATTCAGTTTCCCTACGATCCCCGTTGGGTAGGGGAACTTATACCATCGTCTTCATCCTTGACTTGCACCACGATGAGCTATGCAAGTCGTGTCAAGATCAAGCCCAACAGTGGTACTGGTGATGATTCAACGAAGCTTGCTCTTGCAACCGCCGTTCAGGGTGGGTTGCAAGTGAAGTTCAACGCTATTCTGACACTCAAGGAAGCCTTTATTATCGTGTGTCACAATGATGCTGAAGCTGAGAAGCTACTGACTACTGAAGCCACCACTACTCTTCCTGCTCAAGGATTTACTGTTTTGTCCTCTCCTGCTCTCAAGGCAAGGAGATCAGTATTCCTGAAAAAACTAGACAAGATTCTCACTTCGCTACCAATTTCTGAACTCAAGTCATCTATTGAAACTCAAAATACATGGGCCACTGTTGACAACATCACAAAAATCCCAAATGCTTCGTCCATGCTCAAAGTCACCTTCACTGATGTGTACTGTTATTTCATCAGCCCCACTTACATCGAAGCTGAAAGATTTCATTACATTCAACTCTGCTGGAACTGTTATTCATATCTGCACAACACCAAGGCCTGTCCAGTTAAAGACAAGAATTTCTGCACCATATGTGGTAGTGAAGGCCACACTTTTAGTTCCTGTACTGCCTCTACTCCATCTCCACCAACCTGTTTAAACTGCAAAAGCAACGTCCTATTCGAAAAGCAATGTCCTACTCGAAAGGACATTATAAAGAAAACTCAAGATGCAGCACAGAAAAAATCATCTTCCAAGTCACCAACCTATGCCGCAGATACTACAAAACTCCTTCAAGCTTCCACTCAACCCGCCTCCACCACCAACGTCACTCCTCCAGCATGTGACCTAACAAAGATCCACTACTGTCTTCTATATGCTCATATGCAGAACATGGCAGTACCTGGCTCCTTCAACACCACCATCAACGAGTTATTTGCCTTGAACAACACGCCATCGTTTGTATTTCCAACCTCTCCACCTTCGGCAGATATTCTCAAATTCACGAAAGACTTAGTCGCCACCTCTGCTTCTACTTCTTCAGTAACTCCTCCTTCTCTACCAACTAGTGACGTC